ATATATAAAAAAAATAAACATACCCGTAACTCACAATTAAGAATATCAAACACTGCTGTACATAATTAATAATCTCCTAATAAGCTAGTATCTTGTTAGCTTACAGGAACAAATCAGTGCAAGAGCCAAATCAGTGCAAATCAGTCCGAGGGAAAACAAACTGAAAAACAAAATGGAGTTAAAAGAGAGCAAACTTCTTAAGCAGACAAGGCTATACAAACAATAGAAATGGGTCTGCAGTGCAATGTAAATTGACCATCTAAGACTTGGGGTAACGCTTTGGTCTCCGCTTTGGAGGGCTGAGTAGGAGGCTATACCCTGTCACTCTAAGAAATGGTGTGAGTAAATCCCTTAGATAGAATTCCATTTGCATTTTCATATCTTAGCCCCATTTAATAAATTTACATGTAACACCTCCTGGGTTATTTGGGTTATTTTACTTACATACTGGTTGTCTTGTTCAAACTAATTAGAGCAGGAGTGCCTAATCATGACCATGGGCATCCTTTTTGTGATTCAAGATTAGAGTATCGGTTATTTTTATATTTAACATTGTGCCAAGAATGGGTTTTATTGTTCAAAGGCAGCTTAAAATGCTGTAATTATAAGTATACTAAGAAAAGAAGCTATCTTAAATAGTCAGATCACTGCTACCTCTAGTTCAATCTTGCCTGCACTGACTGGCAGGATCTCTTTAGAGTTTTAAACCACAGCATATTCCAGACTTAGATGGGGATGCAAACAACCAAACCTATGATCTTCCATGTGCAAAAAGGGTGTTCTAACACTCTCCTATGATTTAAAACTTTTGGTCACAAGAATAACAGGTGGGATTTGTTAAAAAAAATTATTCTATTAGATTTATATTCCACTTTTCTTCCTTCTGGTTCAAGGCAACCCTCAGGTGTTGTATTTGGCCTCAATTTTCCTTCCTGTAGAAGTACTGTGAAAACATATAGTATCAGTTTCAACTGCCTTTAATTGTTAATAATTGTTTTTATCTCTTTTTAAATTTTTTAATGCTGTATTTTATTTTAGTGATCAGTCCCATACAGTATTTAATTAAAAAAGATGGGATATAACTAAACTAAATTAAGTAAACCAAACCAACTAAATATTCCATAACTCCTTTCTGAAAAACATAGGAATACATATTGGCAACCAAATCATCATGTAGGACACAGAATATAACAAGGTATAGCCATGTCCAGTGGGCTACTTACTACACATGTAACACCAGAAAACTCAAACAAATAAGCAGTTTTGCAAATAACTTCATAATAAGTTTCATTTTAAAAAATGGATTACAAATTAATTGTCTGTCTTCCACAATTCTACAATCACAGTTTAACGACAATTAACAGTTTTATGTCCTCCTAGAAATTGTCAGAAATGATAAAAAGGCCATAATGGCTTTTAAAATTCATCCTTATTATCAAAATGCATATTGCATATCATTATCCAAATATATAATTGAAAGATAACAAAAAAGAAAAAAATAAAAGTTTGTCAGACAGCTTTTAATTGCATGCTCCTTTCCCATCTAATTTGAGAATTGTCAGCAAATCTCAAAAGAAAAGCATAACAGCATGTGTTGACATTTGATCTCTGCTCATCGCTGAAAGCCCACTTGAGCATCAATCACAATTAACAAGTGAAACATTGAAAAATATTATCATTT